AAAAAAAAAAGAACACAAATTCTGCTGGCTTTTCTCTGTAGTTAGAAAAAAAAACAACACTTTATTACTTTATTGAGAACAGTTGCGCACAAGAGTCGACACACTGTGGCCGGGTTTGCCGTCAAAACTGAAGGGTCGCATAGCCTATCGCTTCAATTTTCCAGCACGTAAAAGTGGTTTCCGTAGATCGCGATCAAAGTAAATCTCACAATCTTGGGATCTTAATCACCGATCCGGACGATTGACAAGGATTTCCGATCTTCCTCACAATTCACGATTTGCCCAGGTCAAAAAAAGCTAGAAGACCATTTAGGCGTCCACAAAAGTTCGCCCAGACGGCTAGGCGTCGCCTAGGCGATGCCTTGATAACTATGTTTAAAAGTGCTTTTTATTTACTCTGAAAATTGTATTGGTTTTTGCAAATTTAATGTCTTGATTTCTTGCCTTTCCCATACTGAGGTGGCATTTTTCCTATTTTGGTTTTTCCCTGTTTATATTCAAATAGATGTTATATTATGGCGACTTTGATGTTTCTCCTAAGAGAAAATTAGAAGAACAATTTGACATTGGGAAGAATAAATTTGTATAGATATAGTCTGAAGGGGAGTTTACCGCTAAAATAATGTTCAGGAAATAAGAGAAGCCCTAAATTGCATACTTTGGAGGCTGAGAGAGTTTAATGCAGTAACTAATATGGCATACCATATGTTGATTATAATAGAAAACACTAAAAATCTAGTATCATAAGCATACTACAAAAATGTTTGACGGATGAATTACCTTATTTTCAAAATCAAGGGCTTTTGACGCTAACCCTTCAAGCCATTGAACTATCCGAAGGCAGAGCTGTGCAGTAAGATCTCCATTAACAAACTGGAGCCTCCAAATGTGAAGTAGTTGGGAACTGTAAAAACCATATGGCATAATAATAATTATATATAGAAAAATAAATTTGGTAAACTAGATCAAGGGATATACAGGAATTATTAAGAGGGATTAGTAGTTGAAGTGTATTGATATCAAAAGGTGCATCACCATAATTAGATCATAAGGCAGCTCGTCATTTCCTGTTAAAAATTGAAGGAGTCTAGATTAAAACAAACTAGGTGACAAAATACAAAGGGGAGATCCCACCTTCACAAAGGTAAAGAATAATGCAATTATCACAAGGTTGCTACTAAAAAACATTCCCTTGGCCAGCAAATTAGCTTCTCATTTTCCTTTGGCATGCTTATTAAGAAAAATGAACTCTATGTATGAGATTTATTTAGGAATGAAAAAAAAACACTTTCCGTCAAAGAAAAAGGAGAGATAATTTTAAAGCGGATGAGAAACAAAAGAGAGAAGCCAATTTTGGGACAGATGGAATAAAATACAACCCAATCAGATAAAACATAAAACAATTAATTGCATTATAGAATCTAAAGGTACATTTTGTACTACTAGAAGGTAGAGCTGGCAAACAAGTTGGTGAGGTCTGATTTGGGTTCGATTCCTTCTGGTGTGGGTCACTTTGGGATTGGATAAGTTTGGGTTTGGGTTCGGGTAGGGAAATGCATGTTCATGACCCATTATCATTGGGTTCAAGTCGACCCAACGAGTTATAAATGTTTATTTTTAGAATACTTAAATTTATGCTAGCAGCCTAGCACATGCATTTTACATTAAAAACATAATAAATATTGTAATGAAAATATTGAAGCTGTAATAATATTTCCTTTGAAATTTTAAGTTAACTTTTACATATGTACCACAATACTATAAATAATATATAAAATTTATATATGTATACTTTAAAAAAAAGTAAGATAACGGCATAAGAGCATTAAAAAAACCTTGAAAGAATATGTTTTTACACTAAAAAGAATAATAAGAAAAAAATAATATTTTGACATTATTTTTATCAAATTTTGTTTCATCCTGAAGTACATGATTTTGAAAGCTCATACCTTGGCGGGTTTGTCAAGTCAAGTTAGGTTTTGTCATCTTCAGGTTTGATCAACAAGAACATAGTTCAAACCCCAGTATTTTTGGGTTAGTCTTCATCAAAACAGGTCAAATTAATTTTTGTCAGGTCTACGAGAAGGTACCAAATTTCCAATACTTATACACAAGTTTTTAAATTTAAAGTAACAACATAGCCATTTATCAAAGATAAAAGACAACCATATAAGCCAATAAGAACATAAGATATTCATTAATGTTCATATTGAAACCCTAGTGTTGCCCAAGTCAGTATGAGCTGAACCCATCTTATGTTCTGTACTTGTATTTGTATAGTTGTATATATACATTCTGTGGTGAGTGGTAACTGGTAAGTATAGGTCAAGAGGCCCAAGACCGCCTCAAAGTATGCCAGCACCAATCTTACCCAAGGCTGTGGCTAGTCTTACTAGCACGCCTTATCCTTTAAGTTTAATGGTATATGCCATGACAGTTGTATCATAGTTCCTCTAGCCACATGTCTATTCAACATTTGATCAACCCTTCTCGCCAGATGCTTTTTTGGTCTTCTCTCCATATTTCAAACCACCTAAGACGAGTTTCCACCATCTTCTCTACAATAGGTGTTGCTCCAACTTTAGCTCTCATATTTGCATTTTGTGACCACTCATCCATCAAGGCATCTTCATTTAGGTCACACTAACATTGCATTCATGTTCATCTTTCGTTGTCCAACACTCTATTACACACATCATAGTTGTCACGGCACTAAGGCGAGGCACGGCGCCAGTTTACCGCTACGATGCGATGACTAGGCGACCGCCTAGGCAATAATTAGGCAACCTAGGCGGCAACAAATAAGAAATCGGGATTGATGTACATTAGTATGACTAAGTAACACTAGTATAAATATAAACATAGATGTTTTCTGATTCTAATCCAAACTTTAAATACAAATACTTAAAAAATATATAAACACACCATTATATAAAAATAAATAAAAAAGAATATGAAATACGAAATATGATTAAAAACAATATGCGACTTCTTAGTGCAAAGTAAATAAAGAGTATGAAAAGAGTCACTAAAAGGCATAAAAGATTTTCAAAAGGCGACGCCTAGGCGAGAGATTCAAAAAGAGGCAAGGCGATACACTACGCGAGAGGAGCATAGCGTTAAGATGCTAGGCCATGACAACTGTGTACAACATAGCCGGTCTAATTGCAGTACGGTAAAATTTTCTCTTTAGTTATAAAGGTACTCTATATCACATATAAAACTCGAAGCACTGTGCCATTTTGGCCAACCGCCTTGAATCATATGCTTAAAATCATCCTCTATTTCTCCATTGTCTTGAATAATAACCCCAAGATATTCAAATCTCTTTACTTAATAGTATTTTCTCCAACTTTCACCTTGATGTTACTATTTCTGCTATTGTTAAACTTGCACTCTCTATGCTATGCCTTAGTGCAACTCATATGAAAGTATTGCAACTCCAAAGCCTATTTCCACAAATCCAACTTCCCATTCGAATCCTCTCACGATTCGCCCATAAGGATGATGTCATTGGCAAAGGGCATGCACTATGGTATGGGTTCTTGGATATGCTCGGTAAGAACTTCCAATTCTAGTGTAAAAAAGGTATGGGCAAGTAATTCCCCTGTTACCCCACTTTGACTATACTCAATCCTTACTTGCACGAATATACCCAATCCATACTCTTTTTTTCTCTAACACCTTCCACAATACTTCTCTTGGTACCCTGTTATATGCTTTTTTCCAAATCAATAAAAGCCATGTGTAAATCTTTCTTCTCACTTTGGCACCTCTACATCTTTCTCCTCACCAAATATATAGCCTCTGTAGTGGATCGGAGCATTAGAGATTTGCATGTCTCCTCAGTAAACAAATCATTGACTTATATTTTTTTTTTGAAAACAACATTGACTTCTAATATTATTTGTAATAATTCTAAATGTGCTAAAAATTGAGAGCAATACAAAATCCAACTAAAGCACCTCAACTACGTAATACAAAATCTAATCAAACCACCTTAACTACACAATACACGATTTCAAAAATTGATTGCAGAAAGCATGATAATATAAAAAATGATTGGAGCAATATTACTTAAAGATGTAATAAAAGAAAAAAGGTGGATTAATAGGCAAGAAAAGAAAAAGAGAATCTCAGTCTAAAGTATAGACATATTGAGGTCAATTCAAACTATTTAGATAATCATAAACTGCTTGAAGAAGAGCAAAGAAATGAACTTCAAAAATTACCCCTGATGCATTGGCACCTATGACTATACTCTGTATTATGAGTGAAAATATCAAAACACTTGCACATGGAAACCATAAATCAAAGCTAGCCGCAGAGATCCAAAAACTTTACCTGAACATAGTTTCATGATATTCTACTGGTGAAATCCATGACCATATAAGACCTAGCATATGAGGAATGTCACCTAGCATAAGGTTCATCTGTTGACATACTTCAGTTATTTAGACAATGCAAGTTCAAATGCATGGTTATAAAAGGCGAGAGCCTTGATCACCTATGGCGTTTATGGCGCTGTGGCGAGGCTATGGAGCCTGGATTGGGCTGTGCATGACGATGTCCTTGAGGCGAGGAATGGCGATCGCCATTTTTTATGCTAATTATGGCGTATGGCGATTGCAATTGACACAATTAAGTTGTGGGTCAATTTTTTCACTGTTCAGGCTTCATCCAAGGGAGCAATTAAAGTGGTCCTGAGCCCGTTTCTAAATAAAGATCCGTAATTACCTCTTCCTGTAACCCGATCGTCGTTCCAGGCTTTTAGACATCACCCGATTGTCTCTTCTGCGAATCTGCTCCCAGTTTTCTATCACAGCAGGTTGCAGCTTCCAGCGGCTATTTCTCAATTGATTTCCTCCAAGTCGTGGCAGCAGTCAAGTATGTCACTTTTTATTTCTTCTATTGTTTTTTAAATTTGTGTTTTATACTTTTATTTTAATTTTAATTTTTGTATTATATATTCAATTTTTGTAATATGGGAAAAAAATTTATGTTTCATTCTTCAAATTTAATTTAGCAACTTATTGTTTTTGTTTTCCTTTAAGATTTATACATTGTTTAAGACTTTATGATATGCCATGCACAATTTGTGTATGTGTGTGTGTGTCTGTGTGTGTATACTTGTTCTTTTTGTTCGCCATTTGACAGCCACGCCATTCGCCACAAAAAAGGTCCTCTCGCCCGCCACTCGTCACGCACCTTTCATAACTATGTTCAAATGTTGGAAACACAACTAAAAGATCAATAGCTAGATTAGCTACAAGACACTGTTTCAAATGCAAAATACAGATCTATGCTGAGATTTTTTTACCTCAATTTGTCTATGCTGCTCTTTGCAAGATCGAGCAACAACCTCATGCACAGTGTCACTATTGCATACAAAATTAAGGAATTAATAAGGTTGGGAAAAGGAACTGCTAATAATAACCCAGAGGAATGTATCGTGTGTTTACATGGAATGGAGTTTCTGAAGCAATGAAGTAAGATGCCTTGGTTGCTGATTCATCACTTGAAGGGGCCAACTATCTGGTCCCATTGCTGACTGAGTAACACCATTTTCTTGTTCCAGACTTTGGTCAAGAGCTTCTTCATTAAACTGAATATTTCCACCTGGCTGCAGGCGTGCTAATTCCATATCAACCAGGACATCTAGCCATGATTTGGCCATTGCCCAGCAAGCAGACTGGAAAGGAAGAGAATAACTTCATGAATCTTTTGAAGAAACAATTGATGTAAAGAAAATAAATCAAGATTCATGAACATGAATTATAGCATTCCAAATTGGTTCTCACCGTATGATACAGCATCTAGAATGGCTGTTGAAAAGGCCATTCATGGTACATACACCCCCCCCCATAGCTACCCAAAAGTTCCCATATCTATCGCTCCCTCCGTCCCTAAACAAACTTCACATATTCCTTTTTCATCCGTCCCAAAATAATCTCCCACTTTCTTATAATTCCAATCACATAATTTTTACCTTTCAACTAGCTTTTTAGAATGTGTCCAACCAAAGTGGGAGCTTAAATGGGGGCAGAGGGAGTAAATAAAATATTAAATTAAATAAAACTGAAAGAAATTAAATTAAATAATAGAACTGAAAGGTGCATATTTCAGGATGAAAAGAAGAGGTCAGACATCCGTGAACCACCCCTCTACATTTTCACTCAATCTGTCTTGTGTTTCTCTTTCTTCCGGTACATTTTTATTGAGCAATGAGCGTGCTTTTGGGATATTTTGGGTTTAAATCACCCCCACTACAATGTTTTACTATTAAATGTATGGTCAATCGACATAGACCTAGGTTATTCTGGTCTTTTTTGGTGATTCAGCCATCATCTTTGTAGCATTTGGTTGTTTGTCATCGTGTTGTGGCCTTTTTTGGGTGGGAAAATTCAGTAAGACTCTTTTTAGGACAATGTCAAGAAACTGGACTCTTTTTATGGGACGGAGGGAGTAATAGAAAAGCACATGTTATTTTGCAGAATGACAGAACAGGAGTCAAAGTGTTTTCGAAAACACGTAGGCTTTGAGCCAATTTAGTATATAATATTGACATAGGTGCTATGGATCTTTTAATATTTATCACCCTATGGTTTTTTGAGGATTTGTAACTGTTTATAATAATTGATTGCTAGTTTACAACAACAACAACAAAGCCTTATCCACACTAGGTGGGGTCGGCAGATTGAATGCTAGTTTAAATAAATAAAATGATTTTATCATCAACAAAAAATGGAAAGGAAGAGATGTACCTCCCAATTTGTACACATTGGAAGAATGCGCTTTAAGTTACTGCATTGTGCTGCATAAACTGCAATTTCATATTTTCCTCCATCTTGCTCTGCAATTCTCTTCGGCATAAAGGAGAATAATTGAGACATCAGTATTTAAGAGAGAGAAATGGCCAGCCAATTTAGACAAAAATGTAGCATGAGAGCCTGTTTCAGTGAGCTCCTATCTTTTTGTCTTATCTTCCTTGACAGAAGGTATTTTTGTTTGCCAAACTCAAAAAAAATTTGACAGTTCTGGCTGAACTGCTTAATTTCAAAATGAAAAAGAAATGTAGTAAATTTTTGCTGAAGTTGAAAATGAATTAAATGATATTTCTACTCAAACAAGCTCTCAGTTTTCTTGAAATAATGAAAAAATACTTGCATGGTTAGACCTTTTCTGGACATAGGATGTTGTACATATTTATGGGCTTTATTTTGATTTCAGAAGATAATGGAAAACACTTTTTGTTAAGTTACCAAAAGATAGTAGAGAACATTTTGAGTAACTAAGCAAATATACTGAACGTGACAATTCAAACGTTTGCTCCATCTACCTCTGATGCACAATAACAAGCCCACTTCCAAAGACGGCGTTGGTGACCAATACCAGTTTCCAGTTCAATGGCTTGCAGAGCCCTAGTCTTTCCATTTTTTATCAAGGCTTCAATTGAGGGTTTCTGATCCAACCTTCCAAATGGAGATAAAGTTGCTGCCCTCCAAGGCTATTAACATGCAAATTGAGTCAATTAGAAATAGTAATTTGCTTAAGGAGCAATGGGCATGTTTAAGGACAGTAGGACACCATATTTTAAAGCTATTGGCTAACCTGCCCAGCAGAACGACACAGATTGCATGCTTCTTCTAGTCTGCCAGCCCTTAGAAAGGTCCAAACATCTTCTAGAAGTGATTCATCTTGCTTCTGCACGCAAAACCAATCATATTTAAAATTAGATGACAACTAATTCATCACTGCGCTTCTATAGTTCTATGACATAAAACTTGGGAAGATCAAATATTAAATTAGACCGATCGTGTTTGGCAAAGTTTTTAAGGAAACATGTGATATACAATATTCCATCCTAAATTGCACTTCTAAAGAGGAAAGTTTAGACCCATCTAAAGTAAAGAAGGAATAAAGGGTATGTTGGGAAACAGATAAGTTGAAGATGTTTAGATTATACTCCAGTTAACACTTAAAAACATTTAGGACAGCTAAGCAGGAAAGACTAACATGCAAAATGCAAAGGAGAACGTATTATACAAAAGAAGATTAGGCAAGAGCAATGATGCAAATATTAGAATACCTATGTGGAGACAATTATATACAATTAAACACAGACTCTGTTTCTTTTGAGGAAACACAAACTGACTGATAATGTGGCATCACCTTAGTGCTACCTGAGTGCCCTGGTGATGAAAGATTCGGAAAGGTCACCAAGGTAGTTTGACCTACGAGATGGAATAATGACATTGTCCAGAATTGCTGAGGCGGAAACTAGGCATCATGGTGATGCTAAAGTTAATTTTTATCTAATAAGTCCGCTGACATCTTTTACTTCTATATCACTTATGAAAATATCTTAACCTGAAGCAGTGCAATTAACCCTCACCCTATCCACGTCTGACCTTTCCTCTCTTCCAGCCTCTCGCCGGCGTCCCACATCTCTCACAAGAAATCAACACCCTTCACAATCTCTGATTTTATTTTACTGCTTTTCTTTTTTTGTTTTTGTTCTTGTGCAGTTATCTCCGAAAGACTACAATGGTATCTACTTTTTTTATTTANTTCATTTTCTATTTTCTACATTTGTACGCTTCGTATGCCTTGTATGCTTGGTGCTCTTTGGTTGTATTACTTTTCCTTTGATAGCTCTAGTTTGTCCCTTGCCTCTATGTGCTCCGTGCTTTATTTGTGCTTTCTTTGATTTATGCATCCCCTGCAATTGTTTTATACATGCAGCTTGAGCTGGGGATCTCTTGCAAACAGCCTCTCTACTTTCGAGTAGGGGCAAGGTCTGCATACACACACCCTTCCCATACCCTATCCTCGTGGGATCCAACTGGGTTGTTGTTGTTGTTATTGATAATTAAGAAGAATGCTCTCATCAAGTGTGCCTGACCAATTCTGTCAGGCATGGATGATCTCAGCCCTTGGATTCTGATCTAGGGGACATAACCAATTTGGCTGTTGAGATGATCCCTGTGTGGCAGAGCATTGCTCTTATTCTGCAATTAATTGGTTCAGTCTGCAACTTAATCTGCAATTCTAACAGTTTCATTTTTTTCCTACTCTTCGGGTTTTAAAAGCATAGTTATGGTGGCTAGGCGAGGCTGGGCGCTAGAGTACCTTCCAATCGCCTAGGCGATTAGGCGCCTGCCTAGGCATCCCCTAGGCGAGTGGGCTGTGGCGACCTTAATAATTTTATAGGTACTAAAGTAAAAGCATATAGTATGCAATAAGTAATTAAAGAGTACATGTTCTGAAATATATGAACAAATGTTGTTTTTTTAAATAAAACACATATTCCTTTTAAAATTCCTTGAACCAAACCTTGTAAGAAATTAGATATCCTCAAAAAAAAAAGAACACAAATTCTGCTGGCTTTTCTCTGTAGTTAGAAAAAAAAACAACACTTTATTACTTTATTGAGAACAGTTGCGCACAAGAGTCGACACACTGTGGCCGGGTTTGCCGTCAAAACTGAAGGGTCGCATAGCCTATCGCTTCAATTTTCCAGCACGTAAAAGTGGTTTCCGTAGATCGCGATCAAAGTAAATCTCACAATCTTGGGATCTTAATCACCGATCCGGACGATTGACAAGGATTTCCGATCTTCCTCACAATTCACGATTTGCCCAGGTCAAAAAAAGCTAGAAGACCATTTAGGCGTCCACAAAAGTTCGCCCAGACGGCTAGGCGTCGCCTAGGCGATGCCTTGATAACTATGTTTAAAAGTGCTTTTTATTTACTCTGAAAATTGTATTGGTTTTTGCAAATTTAATGTCTTGATTTCTTGCCTTTCCCATACTGAGGTGGCATTTTTCCT